TGACGTCCGTTTTATTTAAATCTATCTATCTATCTATCTATCTATCTATCTATATATATATATATATATATATATATATAAATGGTGGTACTCGCTTGGATAAACTTGGATATTTCTGACTTGAAGAACAAACCAGTACCCAAGGAAAAATGAGGTTTAAAATAAGAAAGAACCAAGAACATGTAACTAAGGCGAAAACGATCCTCCTGAGTTCATGCTCAAAGTTCAAAGAAAAAAAAACCTCCAAAACTAGTAAAGGCAACTACGTGAATATATACGAAGGAGAGCAAACCTAAAAGGCCAGCATTGACCTGACGATCCGTTTAGGTGAAACATAGATAGGTTTGCCTTTGCCTTAGGTTTATCTTATATATATATATATATATATATATATATATATATATATATATATATATATATATATATATATATATAACTCGAGTCGCTACATTCACGATCTTGAAGCGACTAGAACCCCTGAAGGTCATGATGATTCATATGCCAAACCGTTAAGAATTTATCAGATAAAATAATAATTTCTAGTACTTTTCGATTATCTGCACTGGAGAATCTGCAACTTCTACGGAAAGGAAACCTCAAGAAATTTGTATGAACACCACCCAGACCCGGTTACGGAGATAGGACCTGTTACAATTCTATGGGACTAAACAAGATACACAGAGAGAACAATCAAAGCTAATCGCTATGATATCGTGATTAGAGACCGAAAACAAAAAAGTGCCTCCTTATTGATATGGCAGTCAAATATCGAAGAAAATAATAATAATAATAATAATAATAAGAAGAAGAAGAAGAAGAAGAAGAAGCAGAAGAAGGAAAAGAAGAAAGCGCATATATTGAGAAATTATGTTAGCCCAAAATGCATATTCTGTGATATCCAGAAACAATTGATCATCTTGTATCAGGTTGCACGATATTGGCACCCACTGAATATAAAACCCGGCATGACAGCGTGGGCCAATATCTGCACTGGAAAATCTGCAACTTCTACGGGCAGGAAACTGAAAGAGATTGGTATGAACACCCTTCAGACCCAGTTACAGAGATCTGTTGCAATTTTATGGGACGATACAATACACACAGACAGAACAATCAAATCTAACCGCCCAGACATTGATATTAGAGAGAGCAAACAACAAAAAAGTACCTCCTTATTGATATGGCAGTCCCTGAAGACTGCAATGTATTTTTAAAGATCTTCAAAAGGCTATCAAAATACAAGGACATTAAAATCGAAATCTCAAAAATGTGGCACATAACGACGTTAACAATTCCGGTAGTAGCTGAGGCTCTTGAATTGATTGGAAAAGATTCCAATAGACTCATTGAAGAGATTCATAGGAGCCCATGCCTTAAAGAAATACAAAAAAAATGTTCTCACGACTACAGCTTACATCTTACGGACAGCTTTATCTATGTAAAATATATGCGATTTTTTAAAAACAAATTGTTCAGGGGAAAATGTCATGATGCCATTTCTAACCTTAGGTCTCTGGCCGGCACACGGAAAGAAATGAGGAGACACCAGAAATCAAAGGAAATAATAATAATAATAATAATAATAATAATAATAATAATAATAATAATAAAATTAATAATAATAGAAATGTAAGCAGATAAGGGCCTTAATGGTTAATACTTTACCTCTACCAAGCAAGCTAATATATCTTTGAAAAAAGTGTTGGTCGAAAGGTACCTAAGGTATAACATGACGTCCGTTTTGTTTAAATCTGTTTTATTTCTGCGGGTACAAAATTTATATATATATATATATATATATATATATATATATATATATATATATATATTATAGGAATATATAGGTGAATTCAGAGAAGCATGGATCCATCCAGCTCTTATCTCAAATAACAACTTAAAAGAGACTGTTTGAGCAACACAAGGAATGTTAAAAGATTCATGTTAAAAAGATAAAAAAAATAAAAAACAAATGAAAACTACAGACAAAAAGTTCATTTTCCATCAAGACATTCATTTCTGTAGTTTACTGCTACCAGCAAGCAGAAATATTTTCTCCTGATGATGGCCATTTTGGCCGAAACTAGTCGAGGAATCTATGAAATAATAATAATAAAAACGAAAGAATATTAATCTACAAAACCCAGTGTGTCTGAAGATTTGAATTTTTAATATTTGTTTATTGTTCAATATATATATATATATATATATATATATATATATATATATATATAATTAAAAACCTAAAGAGCCAGACAACCTACTAGGCAGTTTTCAATTTATTCGGATTGTCAGGGAAGCCTTCCCTGATGATCCGGGTTAGGTTTTCTCTACTTAGTGTATTGACCACTTTATTTAGTTATTTTACTTACTCGTATCGGGGTTTTTTTTGTTTGGACTTGGATGCTAAACGATTATTTTCGGCTGATGTACATGTTCTTTGTTCTTTCTTTGTACCTTTTTTTTCCTTTGGTATTGGTTTGATTATTTGCAAATCAAGACACAGACGGTTTTCCGAACGAGTATAATTTCTTATAAGATTATTACTAGTATATATATATATATATATATTAAAAAGAAGAGGGGTGCCGCAAACGTTTTTGGTTGTAATGTGGATTTATTGAGAAAAAATATTATACTTTGTTTTACATAATTTCACGACACGTGTTTCTGGTCTGGTCTCGCAACCGTCTTCAGGTGAAAGTGGAGAATTTTACATATTATTAAAAATAATTAATTTTCTTTCTAGAATTGTCAATGAAAACATTAAAAGATTAAATGCCGATAACTACTCGCTGGACAAACCTTAATTGTTTTATGACCCTTCACGCAGAACTCTTCATTGACAATTCTAGAAAGAAAATTCGGATTGCCAACACACAAACAGAATGTCTCATATCGAGAATATTCCACATTGAACATGAAGAAAAATTAATTATATCGAACAATACAAGCAAATTGCCCAGACATTGTTATCAAAGAAAGAATCGAAAAAATGGACACTGGTTGACACGAGCGTAACAAGTGAGAAAAAAAAAAACATCTTTACGAATGTTTTTTGAGAAAATTGAGCTAATACAAAGAACAGATGGAAATAGAAAAAAATGTGGCACTTTGAAACTGTTCTGGTTGTGGATGGAGCTTTGGGTCTGATTACGAAAGGAACTCAAGAACAAGCCAACAAAATCCCTGGAGCACCGTCTCTCCAGGAAATTCCCAAAATAGTTCGAACAAACACAGCCAATATCCAATATTTGTCCATTTAAGGTTTTTTTCCTCTTTTCAGTCATTGTAAATAAATATATTTTGTCTTACTGAATTATGCTTAGGATATTTTTGTATCTGCCGTTTTTGATCTGTATAGATACCGCCAAGAATTCGCTAAAAAATGAGCATACCTTGATGAAAAATGCCCCAAACTTAATAAAAACAACGTTTTATCGTCAAAAACTTTTATTATTAAAAGGAAAGAGCAATTTTTTTTTCTAATTATTAAAGTGGATGTTTTCCCGATTGCTACAATCTTAATCTGTTCGTCTAGATTTAATCGTCATCTTCCCCACATATCCGCATTAACTGTATCTATTACGCTGTAACCCTCTACCTCGAGTGGCACCCAGGACTTGTACAAGGTGAACCTTCTTGTATAAAAAAAAAAAAAAATTGCATAAACTGTGCCTCTGTAAACTTCTACCTTGAGTGGCTTCCGGGCCTTGTACAGGATGAACCTTCTTGTAAAAAAATATATCTGCATAAACTGTGCCTCTTACATTGTAACCCTTTACCTTGAGTGGCTCCCGGGCCTTGTACAGGATGAACCTTCTTGTAAAAAAATATATCTGCATAAACTGTGCCTCGTACTTTGTAACCCTTTACCTTGAGTGGTTTCCGAGCCTTGTACAGGATGAACCTTCTTGTAAAAAAATATATCTGCATAAACCGCGCCTCTTACTCTGTAACCCTTTACCTTGAGTGGCTCCCGGGCCTTGTACAGGATGAACCTTCTTGTAAAAAAAATATATCTGCATAAACTGTGCCTCTTACTTTGTAACCCTTTACCTTGAGTGGCTCCCGAGCCTTGTACAGGATGAACCTTCTTGTAAAAAATATATCTGCATAAACCGCGCCTCTTACTCTGTAACCCTTTACCTTGAGTGGCTCCCGGGCCTTGTACAGGATGAACCTTCTTGTAAAAAATATATCTGCATAAACTGTGCGTCTTACTCTGTAACCCTCTAACTTGAGTGGCTCCCAGGCCTTGTACAGGATGAACCTCACTGTATATATATATATATATATATATATATATATATATATATGGCAATAAATTGCTTAGGGCCTAATCCGTGTTTCCAGAATCTAATTGCTCAACATTAAATCCTCTCTCATCCTTTCATTTATTTCTAACTTCTCTATCCCTTTCCGTTCTCTTTCTTCTTTCTTAATCTTATTCCCTTTCCGTTGTGACTTTCTTTCTCTGCTACCTCCAACTTCCCCCCTCCATTTCCTACTCTCGTTCTCTTCCATCTCCCACTTTTCCTCCTAGTTCTGTTATCGACATCGAGGCTGTCAGGAACGCTGGCACAAGCGTCGTCATCGTCTACTTGTGTGTTAGCTTGTTTCTTTATGGATTTAAAAAGTGCAGTCGACATCCTGAGTCAGAATGATGCTGAGACTAGGGCGGGGGTGATGTTGGTGATAAGTTGACGGTGTTAGTGTCGGTGGCAATGGTAGTGGGGTTCGTTATAGAATACACATCTCTTTAGATCATATTTCTACGAGAGGGGAAGCTTAAGATACAGGACAGGCGAGAAACGTTGAAAATCGTGAAAGGAAGGAGGGAGACAGACGAAAGATATAGAGATAGATTGATATATATATATATATATATATATATATAGAGAGAGAGAGAGAGAGAGAGAGCAAGATAGAGAACGACATAGAGAATAGAGAAGAAGAGGAGAGAGGGAGCGTAACGGTGGTGGGTAGAGGAGCGCCGGCAGTCAGAATATGATGTAAGAACTGAGATAGGCGCTCAAAGGAAGGTTGATATGTAAAGAGATGCAAGGAAGGAAGGAAGGAAGGAAGAAAGAACGAAAGCAGGAAGAAAAAATGGCAAATCGGACACAGAAAGGAAAGGAAGGGAGAAATAAAAGAAAGAAGTAAAGAAAATTGAATGAAGAAAGACGGAAAGAAAGGAAAAAAAAGAAAAAGAAAAAGGAACAGATAATAATGGAATAAAAAAAATGAATGAATGACTGAAAGAAAGAAAGAAAGAAAGAAAGAAAGAAAGAAAGAAAGAAAGAAAGAAAGAAAGAAATGGAAATTAAAGACAGAAAAGTTAAAAAGGAAGAAAGAAAGGGATAATCAATTACGGAAGAAAACTGAAGAAAGAAAGAAAGAAAGAAAATTCAAGAAAGAAACATTGAAAGAAAGAAAAATCAAAATAGAGAAAGTTAAAGAAAGAAAAATCAAAAGAGAGAAAATTAAAGAAAAAAAGAAAAAGGGAGAAAATTAAAGAAAATGAAAAGTAAAATCAAAAGATAGAAAATTAAAGAACGAAAGAATGAAAGAAAGAAAGAGAAATTAAAAGAGAGAAAATTAAAGAATGAAAGAAAGGAAAAGAAAAAAAGAGAAAGTTAAAGAAAAAAGAAAGAAAGAAAAAGGTAAAAGAAAGAAAATAAAAGAAAATCAAAAGAGATAATTAAAGAACAAAAGAATGAAAGAAGGAAAAAGAAAAAGAGACAAATTAAAGGAAGGAAAAAGAAAGAAAATTAAACAAAGAATGAAAGAAAGTAAAAGAAACAGAGAGAAAATTAAAGAAAGAAAAAAGAAAGAAAGAAAGAGAAAATAAAGTAAAATCAAAAGACAGAAAATTAAAGAAGGAAAAAGAAAAAGGGAGAAAATTAAAGAACAAAAAGAAAAAGGGAGAAAATTAAAGAATGAAAGAAATAAAAAGAAAAAAGAAGGTTAAGAAAAGAAAGAAAGAAAAATTAATATAAAATCAAAAGAGATAATTAAAGAACAAAAGAATGAAAGAAAGAAAAAGAGAGAAATTCAAAAAGAAGGAAAACGAAAGAAATGAAAGAAAAAGAAACAGAAAAAAATTAAAGAAAGAAAGAAAGAAAGAAAGAAAGAAAAATCAAAAGGGAGAAAATTAAAGAAAGAAAGAAAAATCAAAAGGGAGAAAATTAAAGAAAGAAAAAAAAATGAGAAAATTAAAGAAAGAAAGAAAGAAAGAAAAGAAAAGAGAGAAAATTAAAGAAAGAAAGAAAGAAAGAAAAGAAAAGAGAGAAAATTAAAGAAAGAAAAAAGAAAAAGAAAAGAAAAGAGAAAATTAAAGAAAGAAAAAAAGAAAGAAAAGAAAAGAGAGAAAATTAAAGAAAGAAAGAAAGAAAGAAAGAAAAGAAAAGAGAGAAAATTAAAGAAAGAAAAAAGAAAGAAAAGAAAAGAGAGAAAATTAAAGAAAGAAAGAAAGAAAGAAAAGAAAAGAGAGAAAATTAAAGAAAGAAAGAAAGAAAAGAAAGAGAGAAAAAAAAAAGAAAAAAAGAAAGAAAGAAAGAAAAGAGAGAAAATTAAAGAAAGAAAAAAAGAAAGAAAAGAAAAGAGAGAAAATTAAAGAAAGAAAGAAAGAAAGAAAAGAAAAGAGAGAAAATTAAAGAAAGAAAGAAAGAAAGAAAGAAAAGAAAAGAGAGAAAATTAAAGAAAGAAAAGAAAGAAAGGAAAGAAAAGAGAGAAAATTAAAGAAAGAAAAAAAAGAAAAGAAAAAAAGAGAAAATTCAAAGAAAGAAAGAAAGAAAGAAAGAAAAAAAGAGAGAAAATTAAAGAAAGAAAGAAAAGAAAGAAAAGAAAAGAGAGAAAATTAAAGAAAGAAAGAAAAAAGAAAGAAAAGAAAAGAGAGAAAATTAAAGAAAGAAAGAAAGAAAGAAAAGAAAAGAGAGAAAATTAAAGAAAGAAAGAAAGAAAAGAAAAGAGAGAAAATTAAAGAAAGAAAGAAAGAAAGAAAAGAAAGAAAAGAAAAGAGAAAAAAAAGAAAGAAAGAAAGAAAGAAAAAGAAAAGAGAGAAAATTAAAGAAAGAAAGAAAGAAAAAAAAGAAAGAGAGAAAATTAAAGAAAGAAAGAAAGAAAGAAAAGAAAAGAGAGAAAATTAAAGAAAGAAAGAAAGAAAGAAAGAAAAGAAAAGAGAGAAAATTAAAGAAAGAAAGAAAAGAAAAGAGAGAAAATTAAAGAAAGAATGAAAGAAAAGAGAGAAAATTAAAGAAAGAAAGAAAAAAAGAAAGAAAAGAAAAGAGAGAAAATTAAAGAAAGAAAGAAAAGAAAGAAAGAAAAAGAAAAAAAAGAAAAGAAAGAAAAGAAAAGAAAGAAAGAAAGAAAAGAAAAGAGAGAAAAATTAAAGAAAGAAAGAAAAGAAAAGAGAGAAAATTAAAGAAAGAAAGAAAGAAAGAAAAGAAAAAAGAGAGAAAATTAAAGAAAGAAAAAAAAGAAAAAGAAAAAGAGAAAATTAAAGAAAGAAAAGAAAGAAAGAAAAAGAAAAGAGAGAAAATTAAAGAAAAGAAAGAAAGAAAGAAAGAAAAAAAAAAGAGAGAAAATTAAAGAAAGAAAGAAAGAAAGAAAGGAAAGAAAAAGAGAAAAATTAAAGAAAGAAAAAAAAGAAAGAAAAGAAAAAGAGAGAAAATTAAAAGAAAGAAAGAAAAAGAAAGAAAGAAAAGAAAAGAGAGAAAATTAAAGAAAGAAAGAAAGAAAGAAAAGAAAAGAGAGAAAATTAAAGAAAGAAAGAAAGAAAAGAAAAGAGAGAAAATTAAAGAAAGAAAGAAAGAAAGAAAAGAAAAGAGAGAAAATTAAAGAAAGAAAGAAAGAAAAGAAAAGAGAGAAAATTAAAGAAAGAAAGAAAGAAAGAAAGAAAGAAAAGAAAAGAGAGAAAATTAAAGAAAGAAAGAAAGAAAGAAAAGAAAAGAGAGAAAATTAAAGAAAGAAAGAAAGAAAGAAAAGAAAAGAGAGAAAATTAAAGAAAGAAAGAAAGAAAGAAAAGAAAAGAGAGAAAATTAAAGAAAGAAAGAAAGAAAGAAAGAAAAGAAAAGAGAGAAAATTAAAGAAAGAAAGAAAAGAAAAGAGAGAAAATTAAAGAAAGAATGAAAGAAAAGAGAGAAAATTAAAGAAAGAAAGAAAAAAAGAAAGAAAAGAAAAGAGAGAAAATTAAAGAAAGAAAGAAAGAAAGAAAGAAAAGAAAAGAGAGAAAATTAAAGAAAGAAAGAAAGAAAGAATGAAAGAAAAGAAAAGAGAGAAAATTAAAGAAAGAAAGAAAGAAAGAAAAGAAAAGAGAGAAAATTAAAGAAAGAAAGAAAGAAAGAAAAGAAAAGAGAGAAAATTAAAGAAAGAAAGAAAGAAAAGAAAAGAGAGAAAATTAAAGAAAGAAAGAAAGAAAAGAAAAGAAAAGAGAAAATTAAAGAAAGAAAGAAAGAAAAGAAAAGAAAAAGAGAGAAAATTAAAAAAGAAAAAAGAAAGAAAAAGAAAAGAAAAGGAGAAAATTAAAGAAAGAAAGAAAGAAAGAAAAGAAAAGGAAAAAAAAATTAAAGAAAGAAAGAAAGAAAGAAAGAAAAAAAAAAGAGAGAAAAATTAAAGAAAGAAAAAAGAAAGAAAAGAAAAAAGAGAAAAATTAAAGAAAGAAAGAAAGGAAAGAAAAGAAAAGAGAGAAAATTAAGAAAGAAAGAAAGAAAAGAAAAGAGAGAAAATAAAGAAAGAAAGAAAGAAAGAAAAGAAAGAGAGAAAATTAAAAGAAAGAAAAAAAAGAAAAGAAAAGAGAGAAAATTAAAGAAAGAAAGAAAAAAAGAAAGAAAAGAAAAGAGAGAAAATTAAAGAAAGAAAGAAAGAAAGAAAGAAAAGAAAAGAGAGAAAATTAAAGAAAGAAAGAAAGAAAGAAAAGAGAGAAAATTAAAGAAAGAAAGAAAGAAAGAAAAGAAAAGAGAGAAAATTAAAGAAATTAAAAAAAAAAAGAAAAGAAAAGAGAGAAAATTAAAGAAAGAAAGAAAGAAAGAAAAGAAAAGAGAGAAAATTAAAGAAAGAAAGAAAGAAAGAAAGAAAAGAAAAGAAAAGAGAGAAAATTAAAGAAAGAAAGAAAGAAAGAAAAGAAAAGAGAGAAAATTAAAGAAAGAAAGAAAGAAAGAAAAGAAAAGAGAGAAAATTAAAGAAAAAAAAAAAAAAAAAAAAGAGAGAAAAAAAGAAAGAAAGAAAGAAAAGAAAAGAGAGAAAATTAAAGAAAGAAAGAAAGAAAAGAAAAGAAAAGAGAGAAAATTAAAGAAAGAAAGAAAGAAAGAAAAGAAAAGAGAGAAAATTAAAGAAAGAAAAAAAGAAAAGAGAGAAAATTAATGAAAGAAAAAAAGAAAGAAAAGAAAAGAGAGAAAATTAAAGAAAGAAAGAAAGAAAGAAAAGAAAAGAGAGAAAATTAAAGAAAGAAAAAAAGAAAGAAAAGAAAAGAGAGAAAATTAAAGAAAGAAAGAAAGAAAGAAAAGAAAAGAGAGAAAATTAAAGAAAGAAAGAAAGAAAGAAAGAAAGAAAAGAAAAGAGAGAAAATTAAAGAATGAAAGAAAAGAAAAGAGAGAAAATTAATGAAAGAAAAAAAGAAAGAAAAGAGAGAAAATTAAAGAAAGAAAAAAAGAAGGAAGAAAAACAGTGCAAAATCAAGTACAGTGTAACCCGGATATAAGAGAGTTGTCGGGACCGGAGAAAGAAAAAGGGGACAGAAAATTAAAAAAAAAAACAAAGAAAGTTGTCTTTGTATAAAGGAACCGGGTATCGAAAAGATGAGAAGAAAATGTGGACAAAAAAAGAAAACGCCAAAAGGTAAAAGAAAGAAAGAAAAAGAAAGAATGTAAAATTTAAAAGTACTATCGTACCAAGTGAAAAAAAAAATGTAATAGAAAAAAAGAAAGAAAAACGAATAAAAAAAAGAAATTTAAAGGTGAAAGGAGAACGCAAAAGAAAGAAATCCGATGAAATAAAAATAAAAAAGAAAATGTACCAGACAACGAAAGATAGAACGAAAGCCGGTGAAAAGGGGGAAACATTTTTAAAAAATGCCTTAGAAAGAAGAAAAAATTAAACAAAGACAATTAAAAAAACTCAAGTGAATGAAAATTAGAAACGAAAATATAAAAAAAAAAAAAACAGTGGAAGGAAAGAAATAGATGAAAGTTATACAGAAAGATAGAACGATAATCATGTAAAGAAAGAAAGAAAGACAAAAAATATGAAAACAAAGAAAAAAGAGGAAAAAGGAAGAAAACGAAAGAAAAACGGAGAAAGAAAGAAAAAATAACAAGAAAGAATGAAAAAAGAACGAAAGAAATAAGCGTAGAGCAGAAGGAGAGGGGGTAAAAAGATGATAAAATGCAAAAATAAAAGAAAAAAAGAAAGAAAGAAGAAAAAGTGAAAGGAAGCAAGAAAAAAGATATTGAGAAGGAAAAAGAAAAGAAAATGGAGAAAGAAAAGTGGAGAAAAAGAAGAAAATTTTTTTAAAAATCTGCGAAGTAAAGAAACAAATAAAAGTTAAAGAAAAAAAAGAGAGAAAGAAAAAAAAGAAGTGTAGAGAAAAAGAAAGAAAGTGTAAAAAGACAATAAAATGCAAAAAAAGAAGAAGAAAAAGAAAGAAAAACAAGCAGAAAAAAGAAAAAATCAAGCAAGAACGAAAGAAAGAAAAAGAAAATGGAGAAAGAAAGAAAAGTGAAGAAAAAAGAAAGAAAAACTTCGAAAGAAAGTACCAAATAGGCAAAGAGAAAATAAAAGAAAGAAAGAAAGAAAGAAAGAAAGAAAGAAAGAAAGAAAGAAAGAAAGAAGTACTATGAGAAATGAACGAGAGGAAGCGTAAACAGTAAACACCATAAAGATAAAAAGTAGAGAAAAAAAAACGAAAAAAAAAAAAATGAGACGATTACTTAAATACTGGTACGGAAGGCAGAATGGGATAAAATAAATATTCAGGATAGAAACATATTAGTTAAACGACAAAGGATTAGAATAAAATAAGAAACGACCAACCGGGTGGAATATTTAAACGGATAAACGAATTAGACGACGTATTAAGTAAATAAATAAAATGATAATCATAATAAAACAACAAAAAGAATTAAGTAATACCTTATTAAAAAGAAGGTGTTGCAATAAAGGGTAAAAAGAAAAAGAAACAAAGAATAGAAGAGGAATGATGGAGGGAAAGGCGGATGCGAGTGTTACGTTTAAATTAAGAGTTTAAAGTAAAACCGAAGACAATAGGGGCGAACTACAAAAAAAAAAAAAAGGAAAGAAAAAAAGAAAAAGAAAAAAAGAACCTTGGCAGAAGGTCCACGTGATCACGTATTCACTGAGATGCAGGCGACAAATCAGAGACGCACGTGGAAGGACGCGAGCGCAGATCACGTGATTGCGTGCGCATGCGTAGAAGGCAATGGGAAAATGAAGACGACACGAGTTGTCAACAATTACACCCTGCTTGCGCAAAATTCTGAACTCCGCAACGTCGGCCCCGCACTTATTCACAAAAGCAGGCCATTCGTATTTCTCACGAATGCCAGCGGCCGGTGTTCGAATCCAGATGAAAGCAGGCGTTCGAAAGCTGATTTTCAAAGTTTGTTCTTCTAACTTAAAAAAAAACTGGCGATACACATTCTTCTCTGGTCGCGTATGGCTTTCAACTTGCTGAGTAAATATCGTAAAAGTGTACAGAGCATCGGTGCTGGAACCTAGATAAAAGCCATGATTTGAATGTTGATTTTCATATTCCCTCTTCGACGATTGGCGAGGCATAATTTTCTATCTGCACAAGGACCGAGAGCCACTCAAGACAGATGGTTACAAAGTAAGAGGCACAGTTTATGCGGATAGTGGGGAAAGATAACGGTTAACCCTAGAGTTGCGGAATTTGAGCTAATTGGATGTGTCAGAAGATGAAATTGTGTGAAGGCTTAAAAATGTGCGTTTGTTAAACATTCATCCACAACAAATAAAATAAACAAACATTTGAAGGCAATTCAATTGGAAGAAATCAGAGAGAAACAACGTAGATATAAATTTCAACAAATAACACATTTATATACGTTTGATATACACAAGTGAATTTTAAGATTGCTTGTTCAATGTGATAAGTGAGATAAAATTGTAAGGAGTGACTATGCAGTGGCTTGGCGTATGAAAGCTTGTAGTTAAGGTTTGTCTATGAAATTAAAACAGTTTGATTTTTGCAAGGTGAAAGGTCACTTGTGTTGATTCAAATAGTAGTGTGTATGTGTGCGACAATTGTTTAAAGTCATAAGGAGCTATGTGCCTTTGACTGGTATGATGTAAGTTGATTTAATACACTTACTACTTCGGTAGTGATAATGTCACTTCTAGTAAGTTGGGTCAATTCGTGCGGCAAGATTTTCTGAGTTGTGTTGAGCTGCTGAGAGAGATAGATAGATAGATAGATAGAGAGAGAGAGAGAGAGAGAGAGAGAGAGAGAGAGAGGGGGTTTGTTGAGTCAGTGTGCTGGGCGCGTGGAGTTTGTTGGCATCTCTCAAAGACTTAGTTACTAACTGGTATGTAACAGTCCCCCCCACGAGGAATGTATGTGGTACAAGGCCGAGATTAACGTGGGTTTCTCCGAGCCCGTAGGCTTGGCCAAAAATATTCCCTTAGAACCCGCATAAGCGGCTTCGGGATCTGTCTACCACCCTGGACGAAACTTTGCCCTTCGGTAAAGCTTCGTCCGGGTTCCTCTCTGCCAAAGCAGAGAGTTCGACAGAAGTCGCACACAATCAGAGACTGCGGGTCGACTGCCCAAGACTTAGTTACTGACGATATTCATTGTTCAAAATACACAATTACGGTACAAGGCTAAAATTAGGGAGGGTTAGAGGCTGGTCCACACTAACTATCCTATACCTAGCTAATCCGCTTCACGACCCATTCATACAATTTCCACATTCACCATAAGAACTCGTCCGTCACCAATCAATCCTCCATGCACCATAATACCACATCCTCTCTAAGGGGACCTACAAAACGCGCTCCATACCATAAAAATTTAATGATGATAAATATTATACATAAAATTCTAATAATGAAGAATGAAAGTGGAGGGAGATGAACCCAATAATAAACTAAATATCAACACAAATCAAATTAAATATAACTGACGTTAGTAGGGCCCGTCCAACCCTCAAAACAGAGAGGGCGCTGTATTCTGCCGATAGGGCAGAATCAAGAACCTCTCTAGCTAAGGGAGTGGGAAACGCATAAAAAATCATATGGGCATGGGAAAATATAAAGCTGACCCAGTCGAGATAAAAGGGGGCCAAAAATAAACTGGGGAGGTTGGGAATCTCAGGCTGGATCATAATCAAAAAAGTGGCCAGGAACAGGCCAGGAACAACACTTACTCACATTAACTAGGTACACAAAAGCTTGTCTAACCTAACCAAGGGGAGGGCTCCACAGGAAACCACTCCGATGTGACGTAGGCTTGACCTAAAAGAGAAAATCAAGGCTAGCCCCGTTCAAACGAATCAAGCTCGCCTCAGTCACCCACCTTTCACTGAAGACTGTCGAATGCAAGCGTTTTCTATCAGTTCTAATCTTCATCTTGAGCTGATGCTCAAAGAATCGGATCAGATCCTGATGAGAAAAACGTATACCCCACAACACTTCCTCCATTCGCATCGTCCAAATCACCATTCGGGCCGTGGCCAGCAGCGTCAGAAACACCATCCGTTTCACCCCGGAATACGGGGGCAACACATTGTCACACGCGTATGCGTGATCAATGGGCACGAGCTTTTCGGGAGCGAGACGAGCCGTCAGCTCGCCGACATGGTCCCATAGGGGCGGACCCGCGGACACAGAGAGGAAGTACGGACAATAGATAAAGGACAAGAGGGAAAATGTATGAAAATCATTTTCATCAAAATATATAGCAGTTCAGACCGGGTTCTATAGCCTTAGATGGCAAGAGGTCTACCACAGAAAGAAATGGCAACCTACTGCGAGAAAAAATCTCCCTCGTCAGTCATGTATCGAAAGATACATGATCGCCTAAGCGTGTATCACGCATGACACATAACTGACTGACTGATCCGTCAATAGGTAGGCAATGAGTCAACGGAGAAGATTATTGCAATACGAACTAAAAAAAGTTCGTTTTTCAGTTATTAAGTTTACGGTAGATGGCGCTGTTTTGCCATGTAGACTAGATTACATTTGTCATTCGTGTACATTTGTGGCTAGTCTGTCTTCAAGGTTTAACATGTGTAGTAGTGAGTCAAGTTTTCCGTTTAATAATGGCATATTCATATCGTGAGCAGGCGGATATGATTTTTACATACGGTCGTGCGAATGGTAATGGACACGAGGCTGCACGGCTGTATCAGATTGTGTTTCCAGACCGAAGGCAGATTTTATCACAGTGCCAATAAATTTGTCTTTGTAAGTTACAACTGAAGATGATCTTAGAAAAAACCGAAAGTACTTGGGTTACAAAAAATTACGGATCCTTCCTTGATGAATTTCAAATTAACATCAAGAAACTGATTAGACAACAGAAAAGGATTAGTATAAAAATAAGTAGATACAATATGTCTATATTATTCAATGATTGATATTTGGATATATATACAGGGCGCGATGGATAAACTGTCGGCTGGTTTACTCAAAAGTAAAAATAACGCTAACATCTTATTTTAACATATATCTCAGATTGTGTGTGTGTGTGTGTGTGTGTGTGTGTGTGTGTGTGTGTGTGTGTGTGTGTGTGTACGTTTATATATTGGATCGGATTTCCTATATTTTTCAACCGATTTCAACAAAACCTCACAGGACTACGTAAAATTACCTTGCGCCCAAAATTGGAAAAACACAATTGTTTTTGCACGAAATCAATTTGAAAACACGATTAAGAGGCATCGCTGTCGCGAGAAAGGAAGAGGGACAACTCATATCGAGTTATACTTATTATAAAACCCAGATTGGTTGTGTGTGTGTGTGTGTGCGCGCACTTATATATGGGATCGGATTTCCTACATTTTTCAACTGATTTCAACAGAACTTCACATTTTTTTTGGCAGGTAGTGTTTCTTATTGTCTTGCACACTTTTTTCTTTATTTTTACATCCAGTCTTAAAATTACACTATACATCTTTGGATACTGGTGAAGACATGTGCACTTTATTTTAATCATTTCACACCAAGAAAGGCGATAATGTCACTAAGACGCAAGGGGTTACTGAAGTTGAAAGAGAATTAGAAGACTTTCATGAAGAGAAAGGACAATAAAAAATGTATTAAAATTACAATATCCATCTTTGGATACTGGTGAAGACACGTGAAATTTATTTTAATTATTTCACACCAAGAAAGGTGATAATGCCACTAAGACGCAAGAGGGTTATTGAGAATGAAAGAGAATGAGAAAACTTTAGTGAGGAGAAAAGACGATAAAAGAAATGTTTTAAAATTACACCTTTGTATAATGGTGAAAACATGTGAACTTTTTTTAAAATCATTTCACCCCGAGAAAGGCGATAATGTCACTAAGACGCAATGTTTACGAGAATGAAAGAGAATGAGAAGACTTTAGTGAGGAGAAGAGACAATAAAAGAAATGTTTTAAGATTGAAATACACAACTTCGGATACTGGTGAAGACATATGAACTTTTTTAACTATTTCACCTTAAACAAGGCGATAATGCCACTAAGACGCAAGGGGTTACTGAGAACGAGAAGACTTTAGAAGGAACCGGAAACACAATCCTGAACAGAAGACAAGGGATAAACCTCTACTCCTGTTCAAAAGACTGGGGAGGAATGTGACTATCAAAAACTCGGGGTTCAGTGGACTAACAAAAATATGTGTGTGTTTTATCTTTGTAATGGCTTGTGTTGTGGCTAAGATAGTTGACAACATTCCACAACTGCCATTTTTTTTTCAGACGAGAAAAAAGACGAGATTCTCAGCTCTGATTTTCAAGGTATGCGTGTACGACTGACTTAAAACTTGATTTTATCTTCCGTGTATGGAATTAAGCGTCGCTTAATAAATCTCTATATATTTATATAATGCTTGTAGTTATATGGTAGGCATTGTCAGTTTTTTTTTGTTTGTTTTTTTTTTTATCAAACAATTGCAGCCTTGTTGGGTCTGATACAAAACACACAATGTTTACTTCCATCCACTGTTATCAATAAGAAACAGTTTCGCTAACCTCTGAATACAAGACACGCCCAACAAAAGACAGATACCAATGGTTAGGACGTTGACTTTCCTGACCATGGGACTCAAGTTCGAATCTCAATATGGTCGATTTTTCAGAAAGGTGACTTCCTGTTATATTAGGACTGTGAGGCGATTCCCGCGTCTTGCCACTTCGAAAAATGCCTGAAAAACATATCACGGGTTAACCTGGAAGTTGTTAGTGAAATTGGGTAGGGTTGAAATTGGCTGTTGCAGTCACAGATTCACCGGTCTTAAAAAGACGTTTCGACAGGAAACGAAAGGCATGCACCGGCCCAAGCCATAATGGTAACTGATGGTATCCTGTTTTGGTTTGTTTTAGGGAATCACGGTGGAATAATGGATAGTGGCTCGGATTGAG